TTGTCGATGGAATGAGAGGCAGAGTTTTGGGGTTTCTTGATAACACACACACTCGCACATACACAAGCATATAAACACACACACACACACACACACACACTCACACATACACAAACATATAAACACACGCACACACGCACACACGCACACACACACACGCACACACACACACACACACACACACACACACACACACACACACACACACACACACACACACATGTTCACTATACGCTACAATGGCGGCGCTGCCGCAGAAGCCTCCAGTTAGTGCCTTGGGACCGAAGCAGTTAGAGCCCAACTGTGCGACATGGCTGCTTGCTGTTCGCAGCTCTCCCATTGGCCGGTAGCTCTTGGCCATGTGCATCCTGGCCAGGGCCGGCCTGGTGACACAGCCTTTAACCACCCCAGGCTGCTTCGTCAACTGTATAGCATGGGGTCTCCCAAGGCAGACTTGATGAAATGAGTCCCCCTTCGGGGGACTTTGACCAGCCTTCCACTAGGGCAGGGCCACAGTTGGCTTTGCCAAGGCCTCGTGGCCTTGCAGTCCTTCCTCGATAGCTTGATAATCCTCTGAGATGCTGCTGCTGCACTTTGGCTTTCCCCTTAAGATGTGCCTTCTCGTAGAAGGACATGACTTGAGGTGTTGTCTTCATCAACTCCTTCTTGAACCATCGATCTTCCTTAGGATCGGTGTCATGCGTGAATCTGACCCGGTATTCCCTTTGAGGTTTCGGCGGTCTTCCTTGGCCGACAGGCTTCAAAACAGGCATGTCTCGGTGTTCCACAATCTCGTCGATGTCCACGTGTCCATCCATGGCAGCACCATAGACCGTCTGGAAGGCAACTGGTCGATCTCAGCAAAAGGTGCAAGTTTGGAGGCATGGAATACATGATAGCTGTGTCCTGAGAAACGAATGACATAGGAGGGACCATCAGGATCATTTCCCACAATATCCAGAACTTCCCGAGGCCCAAAGTACTGTGGCATTAACTTCCTAGAAATGCCTAACTCTGTCCCAGTTCTCATGACTTAGGAGCCCCCAAACTCTATCCCCAAACTGAAAGTTAGATGACCCTCTATACTTGTTCTCAGATGCAATGATTGCATCCTGAGACTTTTGTATTTGCTCAACACCCTGCTGCAGCATTTTATCCTACTGGACAATAAATTCTATGCTGCCAGGTGCTGCTGTTGGCTGGTTTTCAGGTAGGAGAGAAAGTCAAGAGCGGACCTAGGCTTCCAGCCAAGATATAGTTGGTTGGGAGGCATGCAGGTGGTGCTGTGTACAGCATTATTGTACAGGCTAGCGATGAGAGATAACTTCTCATCTCTGTCATCCTGACTTGGCTCGATGTAGTGGCTATGCAAGTGCTGCACCACACGGTTCATCTGCTCCGCCTGGCCGTTAGCTTCAGGATGATTCCCGAAGTCGTCTGCAATTGGGAACCCTTCTCCTCGGTCGCTTTCTTCTGCAGTTTGCTAGTGAAGCAGATATCTCTGTCACTTACAATGGACCTTGGCAAGCCAAAGTCACGCACCCGAATGTCCATAAAGAGTTTGATTACGTGCTCGGTCTTGGTGGTCTCTGGCATGGTAACTAACCTAGCATACTTTGGGAACCTATCCACTATGATGAAGGTATGCCTCTTGCCACTCTTGCTGGTCACGAGGGTGTCCATGAAGTCCATGAACAGACTCTGTACGGGACCCTGCGGGAATAGGCACGAGCTTGATTAGGCCTAGAGGTGCTTGGGTCCTTGGTTTGTCAGCGGTTTGTCGTGCTGACGAACCTAGCAAGTCTCTACATAGCGCTTAGCATCCTCAAACATAGTGGGCCACCAAAATTTCCAAACTAGGTTCACAGAAGTCTTCTTATAGCCAAAGTGTCCGGTTGCATCATTACATTCACCTAAAAATAAACTACGCAAAGACTCTCTACACGGCACACATAATCTTTTATTCCCGGCCTTGTCAAGGAACAGCAATCAGTCCACCATGACAAACTCATCATAAGTGCCCTTGTCCTTGGGCACGAGCTTGCGCATGATGTCTGTCATTAGTGTATCTTCCTTGTAGTCATCCACCATCGGTTGAGTTAGATCGTGAGAAAGTCCAAACTCCGTGATCAACGCACCCAAGTAATCTGCCCTACGCAACCTTGTTGTATTCACCCTTCAGGTGCTCGAGGCGGAAGTCGTGCTGATCAATGCCTTCAATCCACCTCTTGAAGATTTCGCCCATGCAGACCTCCACGACACACCGGGTACATCCTTCTCTCTCTGCCTTGGCTCATCCCCTTTCTGTCCCCCTACAGCTCTCCTCTATGCCCAAGGACCAGCACAACCCCACGGACATCTAGAGCGAGCAGCCGGGCTATGGCTGCCTGCACCCAATACCCATGTGCACTCTTTCCAGCCAGCACCCTGCCTTGCCCAGCGTGCAAATGGCAGCGCTGCTGCAGAAGCTTCCCGCCAGAAAGTGTCTGGACTGGAGGCAGACACTTTCCTTTATGGAAAGTGATCGCTGCTTCAAGCCTGCTGGGTGCGCGCACGTGGGTTCCCAGTATGCTTGCGGCCTTTTCCAGTTTCTGAGCCCAGGGCCTTTGCAGATAGTGCCTTGGGACCGAATTGGTTAGAGCTGCCCAACTGTGCGACACGGCTGCTGCTGTTTGCAGCTCTCACATTGGTCGGTATGCTCTTGGCCACGTCGCACTGTCGTGGTGCATCCTGGCCAGGGCCGGCCTGGTCACACAGCCTTCAACCACCCCACGCTGCTTCCTGAACTGTACAGCGTGGGGCCCCCAAAGGCAGATTCGATGAAATGAGGCCTTCGGGGGACTTTGGCCGGCCTTCCACTTGGGCGGGGCGACAGTTGGCTTTGCCGAGACCTCACAGCATCGTAGACTGTGAAAAAGAAAAGAAGGGAAAAAAAAGAAAAGGAAAGGGAAAAAAAGAAGAAAAGGAAAAAAGGAAAGAAAAGAAAGAAAAGAAAGAAAAGAAAGAAAAGGAACAAAAGAAAGAAAAGAAGAAAAGAAGAAAAAGGGAAAAACAAAGAAAAACAAAGAAAAATAAAGAAAAACAAAGAAAAACAAGGGAAAAAAAGATGCGCAGGTGTTCTATTTGGGGGAAGAGGATAATAGTGGCAAAGTGAACAGATGCCCATTGAGGCAACAAAATTCAGGGCCCTGATTTATGCGAGATTTTCTGCAACCCAACGAAGGTGATGAGTTGATGTAATCATGCACAACACACTTAGTATTGCACACAAAGTCCATGACAGTAGACAAGTCGTACAGCACAATCGGAAACACTCCGTACAATTACAATAAAGACTCGAGTGTTGTTGGAAACGGCATCCCTGACACACATTTCCACTACCGCCACGCAGTCATCCTCAGGGGGTTTCACCCTCCTCCAACCCATAACTCGACCGTACTTCCCACCAACCCACTTCCATGTACTCCTCCCCAGCATCTCTGGAAACACTGAGGCGGCTATCCCCGTCATTCCTGAATGAGGACTGTCGAGTCATACGACATGATTGAGTACTAGCGTTCCCAACGTTGTAACTGGTTCACTGGCGATGAGGCCCGTCCTTGCTGGTCCCAGCAAAGCCGCTTGTTTTTGTTTTGCCGAAATTTCGATGGGGGAGTATGAACATTGGTTCGCCATTCAACCCCCCCCCCAAAAAAAGAAAAAAAAAGAGGTATGTCATTTCCATAAAGGATTGAGGGGATTTAGGGTTAAAAAATAGCTAAAGAAAAATAAGATTTAAGGGTTTTAGGGTATAGGGTTTAGGACTTAGGGTTTTGCTGAACATTCCAGTGGATTGTTTTCTTTTTTGTTTTTCTTTAATCGATAAGGAAAAGACGATTGAAGGGTTTTAGTCTTTTAGGGTTTACAGTTTTGCAGAACATTACAGTGAATTGTTTTTTTTTTAATTACGTATAAAGAAAAAAATATTCAAGGGTTTTATGTTTTGCGTTTTGCAGAACATTACAGTGGATTGTCAAGACTCTGGTGGAGTCTGGTGACAATTTGACTGAATGGGATGAAAGAGTTTTTCCTTTTCGTTATGTTTTGAAAAGGTCCCTTTTCCAGAACAAAAGTCAAAGAAATGCCCCAGGCCCCTATTGCAGAGTTTGATACATCAACTAACGAAATGTCCATAGGTTTGGTTTTGTTTTTAGTTCCCTCCGCCCAACCCCGTCCTCCTTTTTTATCGTCCGAATGTGCATGCAGTCTTTCTTTCCTCTCACCCACCCCCCTTTCCCCCCTCTCTTCCCCCACACTCAGCTCCCACCAACCTCCCTCACGCCTCCACCAACTTTTCACCTCTTCTCCTTCTGTCATCATCATCTTCATCATCTTCATCATCTTCATCATCTTCATCATCTTCATCATCTTCATTATCTCTGTCATCTTTGTCATCTTTGTCATCTTTGTCATCTTCGTCATCTTCATCATTTTCATGAAATTTCATCATCTTCATCATATTCGCCATAATCATCAGAATCTCTTCTTCTTCTCCTCTGCACTATCATCGTCTTCTTTTTCTTCTTTGAATCATCAAGACCATCATTATCACATCCATAATCTTTGTCTTCGTATTCTTCTTTAATACATCATCGTCATTTTCACGGCCATCATTGTCGTCATCATCTTCTTCTTCTTCTTCTTCTTCTTCTTCTTCTTCTTCTTCTTCTTCTTCCTCTACTTCTTTTGCAAATGCTGCTAAATCTACATGATAACCTTTTTGGCACACAAAAATTGACAGAATGTCAGAATGATAAATTCTGTTGTCTTTTTTCAGGGCAAGATATCGAGTTTTTTTTTTTTTTAATCCTGTTGCATCTTTTTTTGACACTAGAGTGACTAGAATCACTAGATATAAAAAAAAATGTTTTGTTTCTGTTTTCCTTTTTTGTTCTTTAAAGTTTCAACAATTTATTTCTTTTATCTTTGTTCTGCTTGCCAACAGCTCTAGAGATGTTGCAGCGGGAGGACTGCCCTTCTTCAAAGGTCGCGCCTTCCCCAGATCCGTCGCTGCACAATCAAAAGGGATGGTTTCTCATCAATCAAATATTCCTCAGGAACGGCTTATCTCCTCCTCCTCCACCGCCACCTCCACCTCCTCCTCCTCCTCCTCCTCCTCCTCCTCCTCGACCTCGTCCATCCCGTCCACCTCGTCCATAAGAGATCAGGCGACCGTGCTGCATTCCATGACAGAACTTCCAAGTGGTGAAATAATGCCAAATCCGGAAACCAACCTGGTTGAGGTGATGCGCACGCGGAGTGATTGGGATCCCAGTGCTGTCGACAAACAAGCAGCAGTGGCCTCCTGGTTCCCCCGATCCCGATCAGACGGCGTCCAATCCGCCACCGTGGAAAGAAGAAGTATGGATAAGGAAAGAAAACGTACGGATAAGGAAAGTAGAAGTGCGGATAAGGAAAGTAGAAGTACGGATAAGGAAAAAAGAAGTACGGATAAGGAAAGAAGAACCACGGACCCAAAGGATGATAAGAGAAAGGTGGGACGTGAGGGCGATGGTGCAGGCAAGGAAGAAAGAGAAGCAGGTGAGGAGCAAGAAGAAGAAGAGGAAGAAGAGAAAGAAGAGGGCGAAATGAGGAGAAAGGGAGGTAAGAGGACGAGGAGGACGGAGAGGGGAGGAGGTGGAGTTGCATGGGCTGCAGAAGGGGCTAGGGCGGCGGATAGGCAGAAGAGGGATGAGGGACAAGGAAGGGAACGGAATGAGAGAAATTGGGAGAAGGAGGTGGAAGAGGATATCCGAGAGGTAATGGGCGGGAAAGATGAAGAAGAAGAGGACGGTGATGATGGATATGCAGAAGAAGAAGACGAAGATGATGATGGTGATGATGGTGATGATTATGATGATGGTGATGTCGAGGAAGAGGAGGAGGATCAGGAGGAGGAGAAGCCAGGCAAGGCAGAAGAAACCAATCCAAAGGAGGACGAAAACAACAAAAGGCACGTGGCAGTCGAAAAGCGCCATGCCAAGTATCCATTGAACAAAGATACGGAAATTCATCAACCTTCTTCTCAGAAAAGTCAACGTTCTTTTCAGGAAATTCAACGTTTTTCACATGACAGTCAACATTCTTCTCAGGAAAGTCAACGTGCCTCTCAGGAAATGATGGAGGATGGGACTAGTGCTAGCTCCAGTAGTAGTAGTAGTGGAAGTCCGGTTAACAGTCGTGACCGTCGTGCTGCTAGTAATGGTACTAGTGGTAATGGTAGCAGTAGTGGTAGTAGTGATGGTGGTGAGGGGGGTGATAGGAGTCGTGGTGCGAAGGATGTACACTATGGCGGCAAGGAGGTGGGGGTAGGGAGAAGAGCGAATGAAGGAGTCAGGCAAGTCTATGGGAATCTGGATGCTGAGAGAGAGGAGGGGGGAAAGGGGGGAGAACGTTTGGCTAAACTTGCAGGGAAGAGATTGGGGGGCCCTGGGGGCGGGGTTGGGACTGGTGATGATGAAGGGAGTGGACGACAAGTCGGGGTTGGGACGGGCGGCAGTGACATCAACCATCAACGGGCCATCGTTATGATCAGCGAAGCATTCAGAGATCAAGGCGTAGGAAGGGGGAGGGTAGGAGATGAAGGAGAGGGAGGAGGTGGTTTCACGGAGGTTGTTAAAGTTGATACAGAGGAGAAGGGGAATGGGGAGGAGGAGGCGGAGGAGGAGGAAAAGGAGGAGGACGCAGAGGAGGAGGAGAAGAAAGAGGAGGGGAAGGAGGAGAAGGAGGGGAAGGAGGGAGGGGAGGAGGTGGAGGGGAAGGAAGAGCGAGCAAGCAAACACGACCCCAAGGAGGAGGGAGGGGGAGGGGGGGGGCGCAATGGACCTGACCGTGACGACATGGAGACTGCCTCGTCTGGGTCATTCGAAGTCCATCCTGGTGGACAGACACATCAGCAAGGGAAGAATGATGATCAGGATCCTGATGGTGAAGAAGACTCGGATGCTGAGAAAATGAAGAGGGTGGAGAACGAGGTCGGTAGGCAATCTTCTAACACTCCACATTCCTGTTGGCAGACCGTGTTTGCTCAACCGCCAATTCCCCCGCCTTCATCCTAGTCCTTCGTTCTCCTCCTCCTCCTCCTCTTCTTCTTCTTCTTCTTCTTCTTCTTCTTCTTCTTCTTCTTCTTCTTCTTCTTCTTCTTCTTCTTCTGCTGCTGCTGCTGCAGCTGCTGCTTCTGCTTCTCGTGTTTGCTCCACCTCAACCCCTCTCCTCCCTCCTCCTCCTCCTCCTCCCCCCTCTTCGTCCGCCTGCAACAACAGTCTTCTTCTTCTTCGTCATCGTCATCTTCTTCTTCTTGATGGGGAGTTATAGGACAACAATTATGGAGGATACTGAATGCGGGGAGAACAGCTCAGGAACTAGTAATTGGGAGAGGGGTGGGCTGAGGCTGGGTCGGGAGGGGGGTGGGGGACAGGGACGAGAGGGATGGATGGGGGCTTCCTCCCCAAGGAATGCCCCTCCCCTCAGACTGGAATATCCAAGGAAGACAGGTTCGGCGGATGAAGAAGCTTGTAGCAACTGGGTACCATTGGGAGTCCCCCAGAAGAAGGGGAAAAGAAAAAACCCTTGGGAGTCTCCCGGCTACAAGCGGTCGACCTATGGCCTGTCGACCTTAGGACTGAGGAGGCAACATAAGCTGGCTGGGCGCCTTGGGGCTGTGGTGCTGTACCTCGACTCACTCTTGCACATGTTTCTGTCAGATATTGATGCTTGCCGGTGCCAAACTGACAAACCCCAAAATAGCTGGGGCATGTATGTGTTTTGTTAAAGAAAAAGGAAAAACAGCAACACCCAAGAATGGCAAGAACTCGAGTCAAAGACTCAACACCCCCCCCCTCCTGAAAGGGAAAAAGACCCCCTCAAGACCTCAAAAGCAAAATTGTGTTGCCCTTGTGAGATTGGGGATTGCATTAGAAAATGAATATATGAAATCAAATAATACTAATTTCTGTAAAGTAGTAAACAATACCCTCCCCAAAAAGAAAGAAAGCAAGAAAGCAAGAAAGAAAAAGAATCTGGACTCCAGTCTTCCATTCCTCTCTCTCTCTCTGTCTCCCCTCTTCTCTCTCTCTCTCTCTCTCTCTCTCTCTCTCTCTCTCTCTCTCTCTCTCTCTCTCTCTCTCNCTCTCTCTCTCTCTCTCTCTCTCTCTCTCTCTCTCTCTCTCTCTCTCTCTCTCTCTCTCTCTCTCTCCCCCCTCCGCATCTCTACACATCCGGGAAAATAAGAAAAAGAATCTGGAGTCCAGTCTTCCATGCTTCTCTCTCTCTCTCTCTCTCTAGAGAGAGACTCTCTCTCCTCTCTCTCTCCTGACTAAGAGAGAGAGGAGAGAGTCAGGAGAGAGAGAGTGGAGAGACTCTCACTCTCTCTCCCCTGACTCTTTCTCTCTCTCTAGTGAGACTCTCTCCACTCTCTCTCTCCTGACTCTTTCTCCTCTCTCTCTTAGTCAGGAGAGAGAGAGGAGAGAGAGTCTCTCTCTTAGTCAGAGGAGAGAGAGACAGAGAGAGAGAGAGAGAGAGAGAGAGAGAGAGAGAGAGAGAGAGCTCTGAAAAGTTATGTTCGTGCATTTATTTTCCGGTATGTCTAAATGAAAGGATTCACGCTGCAAACACCCCGAGTCCCGATCCCAGGGTCCCAAACAGTCCCAGTCCCATTTGGGACCAGTCCAAGATGGCCCAGATCCCAGGCTGTCCCAGTAGGGTAGGTGGTAAGGTCCATAAGCTGAAGTGTCATAGGTTGGTAGGTGCTGGTACCGAAACATCACAGGTCGGTAAAAGTCCGGTATCCGACAAGAAAAGTCCAGTCCAGTCCAACAGCCCCAAGTCCAATTTTGCAGCATGTCCCAAGAAAGTTTGGAAGCTACCGGATCAACAAAATGTTTGCAGACAGGCTGTGGCCGACCGGTACCGGTCTGAAGCAGGCCAAGCCACGTCCAGCCCTATATTTAGCTGCTACAGTGCAGCAGCTCTTCACTTGTTCAACTGCAAGATGTGGAAGTCTGCTGCTGCTTGTGCGTGTGGCAACTTGGGGGCTGTCCAGTTGATGTAGCTCAGTGGTTAGAGCACCGGTTGGAAATGCGCATTGTGGTATGAGGTTGCGGGTTCAAAAATCAATGCACATGGGCACTGGGAGGGTGTTAGAATGATGCACGTGCAATGACTTGCTGATTTCTGCTGCCGAGATTGACAGCGAGGCTGTACACTAACCGGTAGGTTAGATTCGTAATTTTGTTTGGCTGAGGGCTAACCGAGAGACCTGCCTGTAAGGAAATTCGGGAGGGACAGATCTTCAAATCCGGGAAAATACAGGCCGGGTACTAACCGAATTCCTACAGCTACCCTAACTGCCTATAGCAGGCCCGGGCTACCCCTAGGACAGACAGGCCCTAAGCAGCCTATGCTGCTACACGGTCCTATAGCCTATAGCCGGGTCCGGTAGAGGCCAAGAGGCCGAAACAGCAACGGTACCGGTCGGTCAGTCAGTCCGGTCTTGGTCTAGGTAGTCTATAGATAGGTTAGGCCCATCGGTTCAGGACCTTTTTGGCAGTTCATTTCTCGCGAGCAGCGTTGGAGAAGCCAAGGAAGTTGGTGGCGGTGCTGGTCTGCAGGTAGCATCCTGAGACGCACCGGAAACAGCAGCCATAGCCGGCCTCATCTGAGTCTGCCATAGCTGGGGCATCCTCAACGCATCTACCCCTGGGGTATCTGCGTACGGCCGGGCTGTCTCGAGGCTCTACAATGGTGGTTCGTGGGTGGTGGCAGCCATAGCTGCCTGTTCCTTCGCCAGAGTTCTCCATCGGCACGGAAGACTTCATCGCAGGACCTGTTCTTCATCAGGGTGGTTGGCGCTGGCCTCTGGGAGGCTGTTCTGATGCAGCGCTACTAACTGGGTGTAGGATAGAGAGTGGGGTGTGAGTTCTGAGTGTGGCGAGATACTGGAACAAACTCTGTTACGATAATTGTGTGAGTGGCTCATCATCAGTGTCAGTTTCAATTGTGATCTTCGCAGGTTCTTTCTTGTGATTGGTTGTTGGGAGTTGTGTCAGAGAGTGAGAAACACTGTGTGTCTTCTCCCCACCTGTGCATGTTTGTCTTCCGCTGCTTATTTTCACCGGTGTGCAGTGTGGACTCTGTCTCCTCTCTCCCCTTCTCTTATGCATGTATGGGCATGTGTGAGATTGTCTGTGTGTGAGTGGCGATAAAATTCGTCAGGCAACCAAGTTCATAACAGTTGGTATCGGAGCAAGATTGGAATTGAAGCACTGAGGGTTGAGCACACTGAGGCATCTTCTTCATCTGGTAACATACTGGCGAGAGTTTCATGGCGATTCATCTTCCCCAGTACTGAGTCAGCAGGGAAGAAGATTTTCAGCGGTGGATTCAAGTGTTCAGTGGCAGTACTGAGCAAGCGCACTGAGCCTGTCAGGGCACTTGTCAGGAAGTGGCGAGTACAGGGCTAATTCGCCATAGCCAACCCTGAGGGTGATACAGTGAATTACCCCAGAGTGGCGAATTACCCCGGAGGACATCAGGGAACCCTGAGCGGCATCATCCCTGGGTGGCGCTGATAGAGATTGATGCAGTATGTCAATCTCCAGGAGGAATAACCCCGTATGGGGCTATTTTTAGCATCAGCGGCTACATGGCACTGTGGCGAGATATTTGGTGTTCGCGAGTTGGGTGCCACAGGACCAGATACAGGGTATCTGGAGTAAGGGAGTGCAGCGCTACAGGATCCTGAGGAGGATCAACGCATTGGAAGCAGTTCTGTGCGTGGGATTGTCAGGAAGAAGCTTTGGAGGAAATTGGCGAGATCAGGGTATCATCTGCCATAGCCAGATCTTCATCATCCCCTGCAAGATTCCTTGAAAGTGAGTCCGTTCCATGCACCTACCTGTATTGCGATCCAAATAGTAGTAGTTTAGTGAAAGATAATGGTCTATCTGTCTGTCAGTGACTGGATATGAAAATCGCAGACTGCATGACAGCCATAGCCATCTCTCCCCTACCTCTCTTTGCTCATWTCTCATCCTCTGTTGACTCTTTCTGGTCCAAATTGGTTATGTGACTGCTATACTGTATTGCGATTGTCCTGGGATGTTCAAACAGTGAATTCTGTACTGGAAAGGTAGTGATACTGTGAATTGTTGTTTTGCACTGAGTCTATTTTTAGCTTGTGCTACCTAGGGTCAGCCATAACTTCAATTCTGTCCGTCAGAATTCAGTTCTTTCAGTCCCCAGTGAATCGCAAATTGGAAGTAGACAGTACTGTCAAATCGCAGAGTTGGATTTGCAGCATTTCACTGGATGCAGTGAATACTATAATTCGCCATACCCTAGGGTATGGCCGCCAGAGTCATCAGGGTCAAAAATTGAGTCTGAGTCAGGATACAGGGTAATTGTCTGCATCGCTTGTTGTATTTGATTTCTCTGTGTCTGTACTAACCATTTCGATCATTCCCACTGATGACACTTGTCTTCTAGTGGGCACTGGAATCCTAGTGGGTCTCTGGAAAAGGAGTGGAGCGTGTTTACTAACTCCAATGTGGCGCAGGGTCAGTAAAAGGAAATCGTGTGACTGATTTTGCTGGACTTACACTCTGTCTGACACCTGACCCCAGAGACACCCTTCTAAATCAGACCGTTGATTGCCTGTACACCCACCTATTCCAGTGTTGAGTTGCTGCAGCGATTCCAGTGTGTCTGCAGGATTCTGAGTATCGCTGCAACTCTGTCTGCTGTTATTTTATTTTTGGGTTTTCTTTGAACTGGGAAAATGTCTGATCAGGGGAATGAGCAGCAGCCACAGGTAGAGGTCGTGGTGAAGGCAGAAGGGGAACAAACTTCTACCTCCACTACCCCTCTTCCACCTCTGACTGCTACTCAGCGGTTGAAGGAGCTGGAAAAACAGCTGCGTCAGCAACAGGCCAAAATTGCAGAATTGGAACGGCAGGAGGCAGCTGAGCTAGAGGCTGCATCAGATCATTCCAGAAGGGAATATCTGTTACAGCAGCTAGACAGGGCGCGAACAGATGATCGCTGTTCCCAGATCACCCAGCACATGGCTGAGATGATCTTGTTGGAACACAAGATCACCAATTCCTAGTTCACGAACTGGGATGACCGCTTTGTGTGATTAGAGCTGCGGGTTGACGAGCTGTCAGCTCAGCAGACCAAGATCCTGAAGTCTATTCAGGGCTTGACTGCTCAGCTGGCAGCCGCCAAGCTGACCACTCCTCAACTCCCTCTGCTGCAGCCCAAATCTTCTCCTCATTCTTCACCCCCTTCCTCTCGAGGTCCATCTCATGCTGGATCAGCACATTCTTCCCGGTCATCTACTCCTTCCCAGAAGGCCTCAACAAAAGCCACCTATGCTGCTGTGACTGCAGCAGACAGAGGTYCCAAGATCCCTGCTCCCAACAAGTTCAGGGGCGATGACCCCAAGACTGATGTTGGGGACTGGGCTGTTGGGACCAAAGCCTACTTGAGGGGCTTTGTCTGTGCAGAACAGACCAAGGTGGCAACTGTTTTGGGGTTGCTGGAGGGGCCTGCGCTGAAGTGGGCCACCTCAACTTCCAGCAGCCTGCAGTAGTCCATGGAGGACTGGGCCTTTGGGTTGGGGGTAGACAGACTTCTGCAGGCCCTGGAGGACAGGTTTGCAGACAAGGAGCGGGCCCGCAAGGCTGCTGACAGGATTGCTCGCCTGGGACAGCAGCGGTACAGCGGTACCCTACAGGCCTTGTTTGCTGAGTTCGAGCAGCTCACCTCCACCCCTGGGTTGGCCATCGCACCTGATGATTTGCTGACCAACTTCTGCAGGGCAACGCCTGAGAAGTTTGATGTTGCACTCTATAGCGTTGGGCACAAGGACTGGAGGTCCTTTGGTCGTGCAGCCCTGGAAATGGAGGCCAAGCTCCATGTCCAGGCCCCATCCTCTGACAGGAGGAAAGGTGCCTTCCCTAGAGGTGGCAGAAGGGGAAAGGCAGCCTTTACTCACGCGGGGTCTGCCTCAGGATCAGATTCCGATTCCCAGCCTGATGCACCTTCAGGGGGGACCGGATCTGTTGCTGAGACAGATGTTGCAGCAGTAGTGACTCAGGCTGTTTTGGGGGCTCTGCAGTCGCAGAGAAAGTTCTCTACCACCACAGCCTCAGCCACTACCAAGGGGAAGGATAAGGGACGTCGGCCTTTCTCTTCCCAGCGCCCTAACCTGCCTAGAGACGTCCACATGCCAGCTGAACCTCTCAACCCCTCCATACTCCCCTGGCATGACCTCAAGATCCAGGAGGGAGTCTGGAGACGAAGAAAGGAGAGAGGGGTTTGCCTGAGGTGTGAGGGACAACACTTCTTAAAGGACTGCCCTTACATGCCAGGCCCTCGTAGTCAGCCAAAAAACTGAAATAGACCCTGGGAACTGCAGTTCCCCCCAGTGCTGCACCTTCATCTGCTCAGGTAGGTGAATCTGCAGCTGTTTCAATTGAGGCTGCATGTGATGATGTGTGTTTGGGGACTGCGCGGGCAGCATCCTTCTGCTATGAGGATCCTGATCCGGATCAGGACCCGGGGCAGGATGAGCTTCAGTCCATTGCTGCCTTCTTCTTTCATCTGAAAGAGCAGAAGAAGAGCAAGTCTGAACTCATCATGCTTTGGCCACTGATCAACATCACCAGGATCACTGGGCTGTTGGACTGTGGGGCCACCAGGAACTTCATGTCTCCCAGTGCAGTTAAAAAGCTGCATCTGGGCATGAAAGTTCAGCAGCTGCAGCAACCGCGCACAACTCAACGATTTGTTGGCCAAGGGTTGGATCCGCCCAAGTAGCTCCCCGTATGGAGCACCAGTTCTCTTCGTCAGGAAGAAGAACAAGGATCTACGATTGTGCATCGACTACCGCAAGCTCAACGCGCAAACCGTCAAGAATGCGAGGCTTCTTCCTCGCATCGACGATCTTCTTGAGCGACTGGGCGGTGCGAAGTATTTTTCCAAGTTGGATTTGAAATCGGGATATCATCAAATCTTGATCCAGCCGAACGATCGCTACAAGACCGCGTTCAAGACACGGTACGGGCATTTTGAGTGGGTGGTCATGCCTTTTGGCCTCACCAACGCCCCGACGACCTTTCAGGCGGCTATGACCAATGAGTTTCGTGCAATGCTGGACCGGTTCGTGCTGGTCTACTTAGACGATATTCTCGTCTATAACCGGTCATTGGAGGATCATCTGGGGCATCTTCGACGCGTGTTGGAGACGCTCCGCCGCGCCAAGTACAAGGCCAACCGCGACAAGTGTGAGTTTGTCCGGCAAGAGCTGGAATACTTGGGCCATTTTGTCACACCAGAGGGCATCAGTCCGCTATCGGACAAGATTCAGGCTGTCCAGGAGTGGCCGGAGCCTCGGAACGTCACGGATGTTCGCTCGTTCCTCGGTCTTACCGGCTACTATTAACACTTCATCAAAGGCTACTCCAAGATCGCGGCCCACTTGAACAAGCTTCAGTGCGAGGATCGGCCGTTTGACTTCGGAGAGGAGGCGCGGTGATCATTCCTTGCTCTCAACGCCGCGCTATTGTCTGCGGAGGTCTTGCGAATCTACGACCCGCTCGCGCCTACGCGTGTCACTACGGATGCGTCAGGCTATGGCATTGGTGCAGTCCTCGAGCAACATGATGGTGTGGACTGGCACCCGGTCGAGTACTTCAGCAAGAAAATGCCCCTCGTGCATTCCATTGACGATGCACGCAAGAAGGAGCTCCTCGCCTTCGTCCACGCGCTCAAGCGGTGGCGGCACTTCCTCCTTGGTCGAAGCCAATTTCGCTGGGTAACGGACAACAATCCATTGGTCTTTTACAAGATCCAGAACACCGTCAACAGCACCATCGCTCGATGGATGGCTTTCATCGGCCAGTTCGATTTCTTCCCCGATCACATTCTCGGGAAGTCGAACCGTTTTGCGGATGCTCTTTCACGACGTCCGGATCACTGTACTCAACCTTCGAGATCGACGACGATCTGCGGAACAGCTTCATCCTTGGCTACCAAGCCGACCCCGAGTTTCGCGACAAGTACGCGAATTGCTCCTCTCCTAATCCGGCTCCTTCTCACTACCGGATCCAAGAGGGGTACTTGCTTGTCTACACGCGGGGGGAGGACCTTCTTTGTGTACCAAGTGATCCTCACTTGCGTACCCGGCTTCTTGGCGAGTTTCACGATGCTCCCGCTATCGGACATTTTGGAGTCAATCGCATGATTGGCCGACTTCGCCAGCGATTTTGGTGCCCGGCCTTCTCGGCGACGTCACACGCTACTGCGAGTCATGCGAGGTTTGCCGACGCTGCAAATCCCGCAACCATCGTCCGTACGGCGAGTTACGACCATTGCCAGTCCCGTTGAGGCGAAGGGAAGCGATTGCCATGGACATCACCGGCCCGTTCCCCAAGCACAAGACCGGAGTGGATGGGATTCTCACGGTGGTCGACCGACTCACCAAATTCGCCATGTTTTTGCCTTGTCGCTATCATGCCAAGGCACCRAAGTTGGCCGAGGTTCTGTACGCCGGTTGGATTCGCACCAAGGGTTACCCCAAGGAGATCGTCTGTGACCGCGACACTCAGTTCATGTCCGATTTTTGGTTGGCGCTCATCAAGCGATGGGACTCATCTCTCAAGCCCAGTTCAGCTCGCCACCCTCAGATCGATGGCCAGACGGAGAGGGCGCATCAGACCGCACAGGTTCTCCTTCGCACTCTCATCCGCCCCGACCAGAAAGACTGGGTTGAGCGACTGTCGGACGTCGAGTTGGCCTACAACTCTTCCATCCATCCGGCTATTGGGATAATGCCCTTTGAGTTCGAGCACGGCTCGCCGGTCACGTCACCGTTGGACACGATTACTCCACGCATGGCCGAGAGCGACGACCATCTTCTTTTCTTGCGTCGGATGCAAGAGCTTCTTGTCAAGGCACGTCACCAGATGGCTAAGACGCAGCAGCGCATGAGCCAGCAGGCGAATCGCCAGCGTCTTCCTTGTTCATTCCGCGCCGGGGACCTCGTCTGGGTTTCAGCAGCGGAATTCAGCCTTGAACAAGACATCTCTCGCAAGCTCCTTCCGAAATGGATGGGGCCTTGGACGATCATTGAGCCCGCTGGGGACGCACCTGAAGGACCTTCCTTCACGATTCAGGTGCCTAGCCACTTGCCCGTCTACCCAGTCTTTCATTGCTCCAAATTGGCTCGGTATACACCAGCGGACCATGACGATTTTCCCGGGAGACGGACGCAAGACCCACCTTCTATGGACGGTTTTCAGGAGGTCGGCGATATCATCTCCCAGCGAAGCTATGGCATCAAGCCAACTGAGTTTTTGGTGCATTTTGCGTACTGCACACATCGAGCTGACCGTTGGTTAACCCGTGCGGAAATTCAAGCAACAGCTCCAGACGTTCTCGCACGCTACGAACACAAGATGCAAGGCAAGCCGATTTCTTGGGCTCCACGCCGCGCCCGCGTCCAGGTTCCACCTTCAGACCGACGGTTTCGCCCTCGCCCCGGCTTGACTTCATAAGGAGGGGGGGGTGTTACATGCAGTGCGTGCACACACGGGCCATTTTGCAGGCCCGACGGCTTTCAGGCCAAAAGCCTGAAATCCAGGGCTTATAGGCCCCATGTCGGTTCAGCCCGAAAGCCTGACTTCCAGGGCCTACAGCCCCTGCGACAGTTCAGACTAAAAATGGCAATAGCATTTTTAGCCTGAACCCAAGGGCCATTTTCGGTCGTTCATCAGAACAACCGGCCCTGAAACTCAGGCACCGAACCAGGGTTTTAGGGAACAGCCTATATTTAGACTGTTCCCACGCCAGCCTCAGCAGGCTGCTGCACGCCAGCCCCTGGCACACTTCGGCATTGGCAAGAGCTGCCTCCTCGGCCCTGCTCGCCTCTCCAGTAGTCTGGAGGCAGGCCGAGGAAGTACTTAGGGACTTCCCAGGCACTTCACGGGCAGTCGGTCAGTTGTAGTCTTCAGGATTCGGGAGCAGCACTCTGGAGGGAGCGCTGTAGTAGTAGTGGTAGCGTTAGCTTGTAGTCTTCAGCGCTGGGCGCAGTAGGTAGCTGTAGTCTCCAGCGCTGGGCGCCATAGCTAGATAGTGGTAGAGAGAGGTTGGGCGGAGGCCAGGGAATACTTACCTGCAGCGCCGTTGCTCCAGCTTCGTCTTCGAGGTACCTGCAGCACAGCGCCGACATCACAGGTTAGTACCTGGTTCATAACAGTGAGAGAGAGAGGGAGTTCTCTTCTTCCTCTTCTCCGTCCACCATCTTCTTCTACCCCTCTCAACATCTGACTTCCTTGCAGTTGCAGACTACGAGAGAAGAGATACCGAGCTTGGTGACATTGGACCCAGACTCGACTTTCGGGACTTCAGACATGGCAACGAGGGATTATTTGGGATTGGTGACCAAGACTTGGTGTTAACGACATTCCCATCTCTCTCCCTCCTTTCGTCTGATCCTTTCCTCTTCGTCTGTGTATGTCTGGACCTGGCGTTTTCTACTTGTGTGCAGCGCCAGGCTCCTTCACACTGAGTGATGGATACGATGCATGTGTAGTCTGAGTTCAAACATGGGTTGGGCTAGATGTTAGCATTCTAGCCTTCTGCTTCCCTACTTGATACCTACGTGAATGAGGTCAGTCCCAGTCAGGTCAGTCTTTGTATCAAAGTCTTCCCTGCACTCTTCAGCATCTTTATGTATGAATGAGAATGTACATTGCTTGTCGAGATTCTACTCGTACTGCAGTCTATTCAGTCCTTTTCATCACATTGCAGATTCTCGGTTTATTGCATACATGGTATATCTGTGCATGTAACACTTGACTCGTCCAGCCTCTGCTTCTCTTGGCTTGACTTGGACCCGGTACCGGTTGCCCGCAGCCTGTTTGCTTTTGGAATGTCGAGGCCTGGTACCTTCCAGAGTGCTCCTTGGTATGCTGCTGCTTTTTGGACTGAGGGACGTGACTTTTGACTGTGGGACGTGACCTTTTGACTGTGGGACGTGACTTTTGACTGGGTACCGGTTTGACAAGGCCTCTGGGTTACCCCACTTGACCTTTGCGAGTCTGGCTGACTTGGTCACTTTTGACCTCGGGGATTTTCGACCCTGAAAAAGGCTGAAATCTGAATTTGGGTCTGCGGCGTGAAATAAATGCCTTTAACTTTCATCATATGATTGGATCAAGGGTTGTAGCCAATACTCTAAGGCGGATGTGTGAATAGTCAGCCAGCAAAGTCAGCTGGGCAGAAACTCATCAAATGAAAGATGTGAAACCGGAGAGTGAAGCACACGCAAAAAGTTGCGAGATGCACACAAGATGGATGAGGAAAAACATAGAAGAGAAAAAAAAGATACACCAGCAAACTTCTCTAATGAGCGCAAACTGACTTTTTGTTTCCTTTTTCCCCCCCCCCCTCTCTTGCAACACCTGTTCGCTCATGTCAACTGACTCTTCGGCGGCCAAGGACGTAGTGCATGAACTAAAAGTGGCAGTAACTCCACGAAAACAGCTAAAACACCAAGAATCAAGTGTGTGAGAGAGTGCGAAGGCGAGTGCTCGGCAGCACAACAACATGGGCTAAAACTTAGAGTTTTACTTGCAAACACCTGATGCAGTGAACTTCTGACTGACACATACTGTCTTGTTTTCTGGGGCTTGCCCTTTTTTGTTTCAATTGGTATGCACAGATAAAATACATAAGGTCTTCACGAGTACATCCAGGATTGTTTCCACTTGGTGAGAACGAGGAAGAAAAGGGTCGGGTGAGTTCTTGAATCCAGCTGCTTGTTTTCATTGCCATTGTGAAATACTTGGATGTTTGCTGTTGTTGTTAAATTCAATCTCCTCCTCCTCCTCCTCCTCCTCCTCCTCCTCCTCCTCCTCCTCCTCTTCTTCTTCTTCTTTCTTCTTCTTCTTCTTCTACTTCTTCTTCTTCTTCTACTTCTTCTTCTTCTTCTTCGTCGTCGTCGTCGTCGTCGTCGTCGTCGTCTTTTTCGTCGTCTTGTTCATCTTCTTGTTTGTCTTCGTCTTCGTCTTCGTCTTCGTCTTCGTCTTCGTCTTCGTCGCCGTCCTCGTCGTCTTTGTCTTTGTCTTTGTCTTTGTCTTCGTCTTCGTCTTCGTCTTCGTCTTCGTCTTCGTCTTCGTCTTCGTCTTCGTCTTCGTCTGCTTTGTCCTCCTCCTCCCCCTCCTCCTTGTTGCTGTTGTTGTTTTGGGAAATTCATCCTCTGAATGAAATGCAGCCTTATGATGGCTATGGTTTTTTTTTTTTTTTTTTTTTTTTTTTTAAATAAACATATCCTTATGGCCCTGGCTCCATTTCCATTCTGGGGAGCATCAGTCCGGTTCCTATTCCACCGGCAAGCCAGGAAAAATAAATACATCATAGGACACCCTCACGCTTCCTTCCGTCTGGCTGAAGGAACCCTGATCAGCATTGATTGCTCCAACCTCATGGAGGATTGACTGTCAGCTTGACCTGCTTCCACCTTTCCTCTCAGGAATACTATAAGAACCTGTCAAATAAAACATGAGAAGCAAGAAAGGTCTGATGAGCTACCACTGCTACCAATTCTGTCTAAACCCTAAACCCCACATTTGAGCCTCAGTGAAATCCCTAGCATTCTAACCCCTGCTTGTCTTGTTTCTGTCCAAGGCCTCAACCCTAAACCCTACACCCCGAACAAGATTAATCTTTTTACATCTGTTCCCTGTGAATCCTCTTATGCCGCCTGTAGCGCACGAATCTTGGATGCTTTGTTTTTTTTTTGTTTTTTTTTTTAGCGTCAGTCTGGTTCCTTTCCCCCGGCAAGTCATAAAATACAATAAATCCCACACCAACGCTTCCTTCCGTCTGGCCGAAGGACCCCTAAACAGCATTGATTGCTCCGTCCGCATGGAGGATTGACTGTCAGCTTGCCATACATCTAGGAATCCTCTCAGCTATTGCTGCTCTGTGAAAACAAGATTCCTCAAGGACGGACTGCTGGATTCTACCATTCCTTCGCATGTTGTCGACCCCTGAACTCTTTTGCGATCTGTACCATATGAAACATCAGCTGTTGCCAGTCGCGCTTGTGTCTTGGTCGCTTCTTCTAGGCCCAGATTGGAGTTAGTTCCTTCTGTACCTGGGTATTCCGCTGAGAAACATATTGGTAGAAGTATGCCACTCTTTCCATCTTAAAACCTGCCCATTTAACCTCGCCACTTCGTCACCAACCTGGCCCATTTGAATTTGGGAGCGTCAGACCGGTTCCTGATCCCCCTGTAGTTGATAACAGATTAATTTACATATCTGACCTCACACACGCCCCTTTCCGTCTGGCCGAGGGGTCCCTGAGCAGCATTGATTACTCCAAACCCCATGGAGGATTGACTGTCAGCTTGCCATTCTCTGGGTTTCCTCTCCGAACCTTCAGTCAGAATCTGTCAGTTTAGACGATACGGCAAGAAAAAAAAACAAGACTTTGCTGTTTGAGTTGGGCTTGCTGGAATTTATGTCACCCTGAAGTCCTGTTGCTCTATCTGATCAGGAGTTGTCGTTCTCGGGGGGACCGATGAATTGTGCCAGTCCTTCCATCTGATTTGTAACGCCTGTATCTCAGCTATCTTCCCCTGGACTAGCCACACTCTGTTAAAGCTTGATATCAGCTCTTGCTGTTTCTCTGGATATTGCTGAACTTGGAGTCTGACCTTCTTCCATTGGCACCGGATATCGGTCTCCGTTAGCAATTTTATGGTGGCCCATACTTGTTCAGTCGGATTGGTAGTCTTGTCGATTGTCCTGATGCATCTCTCCTTCCAAATGACCCACAGTGTAACCTTCCTGATTATTCCGAACCAGATGCGTTCCGATTTGTTGGAGAGAGAGGAGGTGTTAGTCCATAAGAGAAGTTGGATTGGGTGTTCGGGTAGGGAAGAGGGGAATAGGTGGTCCCATAGCACTGACGCTCTTGCCCAAAGGTCAGTAGCGAGTTTACAAGTGATCAGACTGTTATGTGCCTGATTGAAAACGAATCTAGCATAGCATACACATGTTCCCATACACATGCGAAATTGCAAGTAGACTTGGAGAGAGAAAATCCACACCAAACCGGATGATGAAATTGCACAGCGGAAGCACACAAATACCAAGATTAGAATTGAAACGAAATCAATTCTAATTTACCGTCTCTCCCAGTTCAATCAACAGCACAACTCCAAGAATCCCAACCACGTTAACAACATC